AAACTTAGCTTACTAATGAATCACTGGGTTATGATAAAGTGAATGTAAACTTCAGCAATCCAATATAAGTAATGTTAATTTTAAAATAATTCAGGTACATTACATTACAGTAAGATCTGAGTGTTTTACACAAATAGTTTAACATAGTTTAACACAAATAGTTCTGTTTTGTTTCGTTTTTTTTTTGTTTCTCCATAGATTTAGGTTTAGATTAAGTTTTCTAGTTGTGACCGAGTGTAACATTAAGTACATGTGTTTTATTTTACTTCTACTATTTTGTAAAACTGCGTGTTCTGTTTTTAGGAATCATTGAAAACCGGCGCTTCGGTGTACACCGAGCACATGCCGAATGAATTCCTTTTCATTTATTGAATAAACTGATTTCTTTCTTCTTTCTTTCTTTCTATATTTTTAGTGTTATCTACATTTTCACGCAAAGTGAGCAACAATTAGTTACAAACAAAAACACAAATTGTTCCTCTTTATTATATTAGTGTGGATAAAGATTTTTATATACAAGAATATTTTAACATTTAATTATTTGATTAAATGTAAAGGAGTTGTTGTAAATTGTACATACCACATCAAGTTTAGCCTCTAATTCTTTGAACGTCTGGTCTTTTAAATTCAACTCATCAACATGTTGTTTCACTCTCTCCCGCAGCACAACATTCTCCTTACGTTGTTCCGACAGCATTCTCTCCAAAGATTCAATTTGTAACTTCAACACATCTTTCTTCACATCCTCAGATTCCCCATTAACTTCTACCTTTGGCTCTGGATTTGATTTTATCTCTTCGTTAATTATATTTTTATCAGAAATCAATATTTCATTGCCAACAGTATTTTCAAATATGTCGTTCATAACTTTTCCATTAAGTATTGGTTTTAAATTTTTCACAGGAACCTTTTGAGATACTCGTTGTGTGTACGCGTTTTTTATGTTGCCACTAACTGACCAAAAGATTCCATGTACATTTTTAACAATACTACCCAAATCTTGGGATAAAATCTCCTTTGGTAAGCGACTGTGTTTTGTATCATGTTGATTTTCTGATATCTTCTGTGTGGCACTGATTTTAGATTTTTGATTTGTATATTCTGACAAAATTTCACCAGTGTCTATATTTGGGTTAGAATTTAGATTGTTAACTTCTGGTTCTTCTAAACTACAAACATTTTCCGCACTTTTACTATATGGTGATTTACACATTATAATGTTTTCTTGGTTTTTATTAGGCTCATTTAAGCTAACAGTTGACATTGCTAAATTTCTATGGACATTATCTAAATCTGATTTCATATACATAGAAGCATCTAATTGTTCATTTTCAGGAATGTTTGAAGTGCTTTCTGAATTATTACTAATTTTTTCTTCATCACTTTCAAAATAATTTTTATTAGATGTGAGATAGTGGTCCGTGGTTTCAGTCATTAATGGATCATCTGGATTTATGTTTTCAACCGCTTCGATGGGCGATATAGAAGCTGGAGTGAGGGAACTTTCATTTTCGGTACAGTCCGAGTTTTTGCTTTTTTCATCTTCAGAGATGGGTTTATCTGAATTTTTAAGCGGACAGACCTCCGAATCTGAAGACACGTTAGTTGTAGAGGAGCTCAGTTCTCCAGTATCTACACCCGAATCGCTATTTTCATTACTTTTTAAAATGCACTCCTTTTCTAATCCGTCGACGTCGACACTATCGATATGTACAGAATTTTGGTTGTTTTCTCTGGACATTGCTGTCATTTACATGAATAATATTCCTTAAAAAATAGTTTTTTTAGTGTTTTCCAAAAAAGCCATTAGAATATAATTTAATAAATTTTATTTTTTATGCATTAAAAATAAACATTCGCTTTGACGTTTCTCTCAAATATCAAGAACGTTACGTTCCGTTCGATAGTTTTGACGATAACATTGGATAGTTTAACGTAAACATTTACATAAGCCAAAAATATGTAAAACTTATTGAAAATATGATAAGGCGAGTATTTACATGTAGAAATGTGCGTACTTGATAGTATTCGAAGAATAATTGAAGAAAAACCAATAACACAATGCATTTCATTTGACTGGCAACTCTTTTGCTCATTCCTGGCAACATGAACGCAATACGTCACTTCAATTTCGTAAAAGAGGGAATCAGAAGCCCAGGGAAAAGTAGGTCGTCAGTATTGATTTTTACCTAATATTCGACAAACAAAGACCTAACTTGCATCGTTGGGAGCAGAATATACGTCGCAGTGTATCCGTGGAAGTTGAACGTGCAGGATGCCTGTAAGTGTTCGATCCTTCATCTTATCGCATGGTTTCCGGAAATCGTGCATGATTTCATAACCCATCATTTTCTTTTTGTGCAAACTCATTTGCATTCTCACAAGTATTTCGGAAATGTACTGGATTCTAATAGGAAATTTCGTTTTCAATTAGTATTTAGCTATTTGAAATTCATATCGAATTAATTAAAGCACACGTTGAAATTTTTTTCGCTTGTGTGAGTCATAATCCGTGTCAGGGTCATTTGACGAGTACTGCGACATGCTCCGTTGTAACTACGCATTTGAGTCTGCGACATCGAAGCGTCACTATCTGTTCGTATTTTCTGTTCCAAGGATGCGGAGTCGGTGGGTTCGACGGTTGAAAATGTCCGGGTGGTGGTTCGGGTGCGGCCGATGGACCAGCGCGAGAAGATGGAGGGCTCCTACAACTGCGTTTCGGTAGACTCTGTGAACAACACCATCGCCGTGACCAGAAGCAACGCCTCGCCGCCGGAGCCTCCGCGGATCTACGCCTACGATGCAGTTTTCGACTATGATACCAGCCAGGTAACAATTTTTTGTTCATCAATTTCTACATCTTTTGTTTCTTAAACTTATTTTTTTTGTCTTTATTCTGCCAGAACTATTCGCAATAAATGTACCATTTACTTTAAACAAAGGATTATGTTGCAAAAATTTTATCATTTTATTGTTTTAAATTATGTTCATTAAAACGAAAGATAGGGTAAAGGAAAAAACCAACTACAAGAAATTTCAGCCAACAGTTGACTAATACAGAATATTTTATCCTTGTGTACCGAGACAATGCAAATTCCATATGCAAAATTGGCATGTTCTTTCCTCAGATAAAGATCTGAGTGGCCGCCATTCTACAGACACAAGTACATTTACATTTTTATGAAGTAAGAAATTTACATTTGACAAAAAATGTACTACACTTCACTTGTAGGTAGTTAAAAGAAATAAGGCTACATACACATTTATTTATTTGAGAAAATGTTCATCCTAGAAAAATATCTGCATATGCACAATTTGTAGATACTAGGATACTTGTCAATGATTTCATAGAATAATTGCAAGCATTTGTCTACAAAAGATATACACACAACGGGTCTGTCTATTTCCCATATGAATTAAATTAAAACCTGTATTTATAATACAGCTTTTTGTGTTCAGTTTATAGTACTCTAAAGAATACCAGACCCCCAAGTAGACATTGCTCTACAATAAAACCTTTTTGCTATTGTTCTTTTTTTAAAATTAAAAAAAAATGTTCTACTTTGGGGTCTGCCTTGACTTGTATGATTTTGATAATGTTTTAATAAGGTTGGCAACATTTCTTGAAGAAAGAAGACATTGGTTCAATACGCAATTCCCTTCCGCCTTTCGTCTCGACTAACGCTGTTTCTATAAGCTTCAGTCTTGTCGAATGGTGGGTGGGCGTTGTGTACAAACATCGGAACAGAATATGAAGAAAATAAAACACTTTTTGTTTCAAACTTTTTTTAATATTTCCTTCATCATAAAAGTAAAATCTTATCTATGTACGGTTTATCAAAAAGATTTAATTATCTATGGTCTCATTTAAAATATCTATAGCGTGCAAAAATCGATTTTATACCCGCCATTACGATTCGGGCGTGGTAACAGCTCAACTGAAAGCAACATGGCGGCCGCTATGGAATGGCGGGAACACTTCTTTCAGCTTTTGCGATAGATTTATTTATTATTGAATTAAATGTTAAATATTATATCTAGTTGTTAGATGTTTATCGACTTTTATAAATGAGTTTTATTTAAGAAAAATCAAAGTTTATACAAATTTTGCCAAACATGAATATATTTTATAACATTTCGAGATCAGTTAATTGATTTTTTTTTTAATTTGTAAAATAAATTCAATATGAATCTTATTAGAATCTCATTGTAATTCATAAATTATCAACAATTTAATCATCACTTGACTGCAAAAGGAAGAAGTATTGAGGTAACGTTCCTAATGCATCTTGCCGTACGCTGAGGTCCCTCGGGACCTCGGGTTCGCTGATGCAGGGCATTAAGAGGCTGACCGCTTAATGCATCGGGAATGTTGTGCTCTATAACGACGATGAAGACTGCTGAGGAAAATTTAAAAACCATAGACAATATTTTTTTATCTTACAACATTAGCTGTTCCATAGACAATTGACAATTTAAATGAGGATGGATAACTATTAGCTGTTGTACTTGTAATTTATTGTATTATTATTTACATCGTTCCAGTCCAGCTATCGACACAATGTTTTCTATATGTATTTGATTATTGTACTATATTTCTTGTCCAATATTTGTTAATGTGTTATTTGAAATTATAAGTATATGTCACAATTTGTCTTTTATTCTATGGGAATTAGTACAGACCTGTCGGATCCATAATCCGGGATTTAGTTGAAAATATTTAGTATATGAAATAAGGATGCAAAAATGCTTTGCGATCTATAGTAACAGACAAAATCGAATCTCTTGTTAGCTGCTTATATGCACAATATTACAGTCCCCTAAAAATCACATTTTCTATGAAAACTACTCAAGTTTAACATATTTAGAATGTAGATTCTCAAATCTATACTAATATAATAAACCGTAAACACACTTTGTTGCCTAAGATGTCAACAATTGCAGTATATTTTTGAATAATTCTTTCTTAAATAAAAAGCCCTACACTTACGTTGAAATACCAGACTTAAAAGTAAATCGATTCCTAAAGTAGAACCTCGATAAGTTAAAGTTTAAGGGAAACACAAAATATTTTAAATTATAGAGGTTTTAAGTTATCAAGGGTCTATGTTATAGAGGTTTAGGGCTCTAATGGGAAAGGAACATATTATTTTTTGAAGTTATCGAGGTTTTACTGTACTAAAATAGACAAAATTTAATCAAGAATATACTTTTTATTGGGATTTATATAAATAAATATTTCCCATTTGTTATAAAAAATATTACATTCATAAACTTAATTGCGTCTGGCCGTCCGCGATAACCTCAAAAACGCATTTCCACAATGATTCATATTAAAGAAACTGGGATTATGGACAAAATAAGTAGACAGTTTTAAGAGACATCTATATTCTTCTCGCTCTTGTAACGAAATGTAACGCTTGACACTGCAATCGATAATAGCTCGATTATCGAGTCACGATCAAAGTCACATCAATGATCAATTATTCTCGTAATGTAGAATTAGATTTCATATAAACCGCCTTCGCCTTATTACAAACGTCTCTAGGGTTACCAACATTTAAAAAAGGCGAAATTAGAGAATCGGCGCCGAAAAAATTAAAGATCAGTAAGTCCAAAGTAGAAACGGTGGCAGCCCTACGTCCAAAGAATGAACCAAAATAAGATCTCGGCCTTCAAACAGATACATATGCATATATCAAATATGCAACCTCTAAAATACCTAAACAAATGACGTCACCGGCGCGGGCGCTCAAGACTGCGCTAGTTACGGAAACGCACTTCTAACTATACTTTTTTATTGGCCTACTGCAGGCAAAGGCCTTTCTATCTTACGTCCAGTAGACAATTATTTACCAATATTTAAATTAAATTGACTTTTTACTAATAATTTAAATGCGAAAGTTTTGAATTCAAATCCATACATCCATATGTATGGATGGTTGGGACCACCTAAATCAAAGATGGCTTGATGGATCTAGTTAGAATTCTGAACATAGATAAAAGTTTGAAATAAAGCATAGATTAACTCCTTTTTAATACCACAATAAGTAGCGGGCGTTAGCTAATAATATTAAATGAAAATTCATTCTCAATAGTTACTAACAAAAATGTATGAAAAAATTATGGCAGAGACCTTCTAATCCAGGAAGTCATTTTATACCACAGATGTACTGTACCGATTACGTCATCAGAATTAAGTACGAATGTATAATGTAGGCGCTTGAGTTGACACGTGGGGCAATACAGTACTCTTGTTCATGACGTGCCATTTTGTAATGAGTTTTTTCATCTAAACTTTTCAGTAAAACCTCACGGTGTTTAAGGGCGCTATTGGAATACATTTTCCAGTCTCGATTCAAAATGGCCGCCGTTAACAGCGGGCAGCTGAAAATTTTCGTCGTAGCGTTTCGTAAGCGTGCCAAGGCCGGACTCGGCGTGTCGTAATTATTTCCAAATGGCTCTCTCGACGCCGAATCTCCCGGAGTGAAAAAAAATCGTTGATTTGCCTTTGTCTAAAAAAGTGCCAATAGTACGGAAATTCTGTACTCCAAAAGTTTAACCATTACAACTTTTATGAGATGCTTTTTTTTTTAAATATTGCTGTCTGCAGTATTCTGTATGAGTGTACTTTTACAAAGACTAAACGCTTGAAAGATACTTTATCCGCGAGTAAAAAAAATCAAATATCCTAAGTTATCTTACTATCTTACTAATGTTATAAATGCGAAAGTTTAGATGGATGGATGGATGTTAGAGTTAGTAGCCTAAACTGCTTAACGGAACTCGATGAAATTTGGTATAGATGTAGATGATACTCTGGAAGAACACATAGGCTGATCACTATTGTTTTTTTTTCTTTTAATTTACGCAGACGAAGTCGCCAGCAACACCTAGTTCAATGATAATGGTAAATGAATTTTCGAAATCGTTCCAGTAGTGTTTGAGTTTATTCTATACATACAAAAATACAAATCTTTCTTCTTTCTATTATTAGAATTTTAGGTAACATTTAGTAGTTTGTTACCATATATCTCCAGAATGACTCAGCGGAACTCCTAAATCTTGGTATAGTAAACATAGTCTGTAAAAACACAAAGTTTTTTTTTTATATCCGGACAGATGAAGTCGCGGTTGACAGCCAGTTAGAGCATATTTAAAACATAAAGGAAAAAATCGTACGAAATATAACTAAAAATCATAATTCGCGTAGTCCTATCGAACATATTCAAACAAAGAGATTTATAAGCTTTTCCCGGGACTGCAGTGGCCCATTTCGAGCTGCGGGTCTGTCCTACATGTGGCTTATACTAAATATATTTATGTACGAGGAAAATTGAGGTCGATGGGCAGGGCTGGGTAACCTAGTTAGTTTAGAAAATGGGTCGATCGATGGACCCCGGGAGGAAAAGCTATTGCACTGTCGTCAGGGTGCACAAGCGCACAGCCAACGCCCTTATTCGTAATCTATATTATAAAGAAGAAATTTTTGTATGTATTGAAATAACTTAAAAACTATCGAGTAGATTTTAAAAATCCTTTCACCGTTAGAAAGGCAATTTATCTGTGAGTAACATAGGCTATGTTTTTTTTATAATTTTTTCTTTTACTTCGTCAACTTGACAAATATTCAAATACTACATCGGATGCCATACAAAATATTTAATCACAGTTATAGGAAAATTTGAACTAAAACTCTTTAAAAAATACTTATTTTAAAATACTTTTTCACACATAATTATATACCATAGCTCTTATATTTTCATTTTAAATTTCACTAAAAAGCAAATCAAAAAGGAATATGGCCGCCATGTTTCGAATTTGACATT